CACATAAGGGAAGAAGCTGAAAAATCACTCTGAAAATGCCTTCTACTGGCCGTTGGCTCATTTGAAATGGCGCGCTCGGTGGTTACAGGGATCACCACGGGATGCCGCTACTTCTCCTAGCGTTCAGTTCAGGCTGTCAAGGTGGATGGACGTGTTTTTTGAGCGCTCCGGATCGACTGCGCAGATAAGTGTTTTTGCATGTTTTGAGCTTGTCTCTATAATTATAAGGCAGCGGTTGAAATCTTCGTAGCACTTATTTTATGGTACGGCTTTTTGGGGGCCAATCACCAGGTATTTATTAGTTAGTGCGGGTGTGTGTGTTTGAATTTTTTTGTTGTTTTTTTGCCACCCCGTTGGGGAGGTGCGCGTACATTGAACACGCAAATTTTTGTAGTAGAGCTTGGACTTTCTTTTTTTTTTCGTAGTGCAGGGCTCGAGTTTAGTAATTATCGAGTATAGGGACAATTGGTGTCAGAAACGCATGGTTAAAAAGACTGTAAAGTGTTCAGGATGTGGAGTGGGTTTGAAAGTGGACCCAAGCGTAGAAGCGGATGAAGAAGAGGCTGACGCGAAGCGTAGGCAATGTGAGGTCGAGGAAAAAATGGAGAAAATGATGGTTGCCCAGAGTGAACTGCTGATGAGAATCGCCAAACTCGAGACTGCGTTGGCGACAGAGCAAGAAAAAACGAGGGCAATGGGAGAAAGACTGAAGTCCGCCGAGGAAGTGCTAGCGAAGCTGAACAAAGAAGCGACCTACCGAGAGAACAGTAGGGAACCGGCAACCAGAACGGTGGAGAAGGAAAAGCAAGCAAGCTTGGAAAAAACAGGTTTAGCCGGTTCAGCTCTCGCAAGGCCCAGCTTCAGCGAGGTAGTGGCGGGGCAGGAAGGGAACAAAGCAGCCAGCGTCACAGGTGCAAGTAGCCCCCAGGTGCAGAACGCTCCAGCGGAAAAGTCACAGCATGTGATAATCGCTGGGAACTCAAATTTAAATCGATGCACAGAAGCCATCAAAGAGAGGGTAAGAGGTGACAAGAGGGTTGCAGTAGGGGCGTTCCCAGCACGCAAGCTGGAAGCAGTCATGAAGCAAGCGAGCGCAAAGCTCAAAACGACAGCTGATAGACGCAACCTCGTGATAATTTCAAGCGGTTTAAACGATGTCCTAAATGAAGATGCAGCAGGACTAGCAGCCACACTGGCGAAAGGCGTCGATGACATGCGCGCCACTTCTCCTAAGGAGCAGGTAGTGATATGCACAATACCGGAGGTACCGGTGCGCGATAGCAACCTGCAAAGAGCGGTGGTCAACGCAAACCAAGAGATATGGCGGATGAGTCGAGAGAAAGGCTTTGAGGTGGTGGAAATAAACAGAGAGGTGCATAGGTGGGGGGGTTTTCAACGAGACAGAATTCATTTCGATGGGCGGCTAGGTCATGAGGTGGGTTGGCGACTTGCAGGACGCGCAGTAGCTTTTTTGGGGGGCAAGCGAGCCCTTCGGGGTGCAGGATAGCTAGTAACGAGGAAAACATCCAGGGAGACTCTTCGACAGGTGGTATGGACAGATACAATTCCAAAGTGGCACCAATATCTAAGATACGTAGAGTCCGGGGCATAAATAGACGTAGCCACGAGCGCCGAGCCAATTCAGACATAGGGTATATTAACATGCAGGGTGGTAGGAACAGGCTGAAGTGGGAAGAGATAGAAGAACAGCTAAGGGAAGAAAGGCCGATGGTATACGGTTTTGTAGAAACACATCTCAGGGACATGGAACAACCTCCGAACAATGCGGACTACGCGTGGGAGTATTGTAATAGAACAGAAGGCAGCAGAAAGGGGGGTGGTATTGGGGCATTCATTCATAAAAGTACAGACTGGCAAAGGGTCAAGCAGGAGTGCAAGGAACATTTATGACTAAAAGGGAAAGTGGCAGGTCAAATGACACTCCTTGGTTTCATGTACTTGTGGACGGGAGCAAACGCCAGAGAGGAAAACCAGGCAATGGTAGAGTGTATATCAAAGGACATCCAGGAGTTAGGAAGAAAGTGCGAGATAATTATACTAGGAGACATGAATGCGCACATAGAAGATAAGATGGGTATACCGACCCGACAGGCAAAATGATCATGGATATGTGTGAAAGGCTTGATTTGATCATTTGCAACAGTACCGAGAAGTGTGAAGGGCAAATAACATGGGAGGTAGGAAGGCTTCAGTCGACGATAGATTATGCACTGATGTCACATAGGATGTATGATAAGCTCAGGGAAATGCACATAGATGAAGGTGGCTCCAGAAGTCTGGGTAGCGATCACAAACGTATCAAGCTAAGTTTTGGAAGAGCAGTGAAAGTGGGAAGGAGACAAGATGAGCAACTACAGGAAAATTTTTATCCAGAAAGGCAAATTGAAATTGCCACTAAAAAATTGAGAAAGTAATCACGGAGGATAATAAGACAGTGTGGACATACACGAATCTAATTAGACTCTTTGAGATAGAGCTTGCTAAGACGCGTGAAAAGTCACCCCGGAAAAGAAGACACAAACCCAAAAGTTGGTGGGATGAGGAAGTTAAGAGAGCCATAGCAAAACGCCAGGAAGCCTCTAGGGAACACAGACATGCTAAGCAGCGGGGTGAACCGACAGATGATGTGGAAAGAAAATGGGTAACCTTTCTAAGCTGTAGAAGGGATGCATCCCTTCTGATCAATGAAAAGATTAGAAGGAAGGGAGCTCAGTGTCTGGCAGAAGTACATAAAAAAGATAGAAAGGCAGCTGCGAAATTTTGGAACCATCTAAACTCCCTAAGAAATGAGACGATCCTAGAGCAGAACTTTATAACTACAGCCCAAGGTGCTAGGCTAGAAGGGGACGAAGCTATTGAATATATAAGAACAAGGGTGACAGAAAAATTTCAACAAAGAAGTACTTTATGCACCACAATAGACAAAGACGAATCAAGTGGTGCAATGGCTCCATTTTCACAACAAGAGTGGGAATGGGCTGAGAAAAGGGTTCCTAGTAGTACATCAACAGGCCCAGATGGCATTCCAATTAGGCTGATAAAAACATTAGGTCCGAAGTCTAAGCAGGCTTTGAGAGAGGCAGTGAGTACAATAATAATCGATGGTGAAGTTCCCGATGGATGGAAACTTAGCAGGATGAGCATGATCTATAAAGGAAAGGGGGACAAAGCTGACATAAACAACTACCGTCCTATAACAGTGACATCAGTGGTCTACAGGCTGGCGATGCAGATTATAAAGGAAAGACTGCAGGCGTGGATAGAGGATGAGGGGGTGCTGGGGGAACTGCAGAATGAGTTTCGGAAACACAGGAGGTTGGAAGACAATCTTTTCTCACTGACGCAGTGCATCGAAATAGCAGAAAAAGAACACAGGCCCCTGTGGCTAGCATTTTTGGATATCAAGGGAGCGTACGATAGCGTGGTTCAAGAGGAATTGTGGGGAATACTGGACACACTAGGCGTGGAACATGTAGTCACTAATCTTTTAAAGGGTGTCTATAAAGGTAACAAGGTAGTTATAAAGTGGGAAAAACAGGTATCCAAGCCTGCAGAGGTAAAACGGGGGCTTAGGCAGGGGTGCCCCCTGTCACCCTTATTATTCATGATGTACCTACAAGGATTAGAGGCAAAATTAGAGGGAAGTGGACTGGGCTTCAACCTCTCTTTAGTCAAACAAGAAAAACTTAATGATCAGGCACTACCAGCATTAATGTACGCAGATGATATAGTGCTAATGGCCAACAACAAGGAAGATTTGCAGAGATTGATGGACATCTGCGGTAATGAGGGAGATATGCAGTCATGATTTTCAATGACAACGAAGGTAGTGAGCTTAGAATACAGGAGGTCACGCTAGAGATAACAGATAAATACAAATATCTGGGCGTATGGATAAGCAATGGGACCGAGTATCTGAGGGAACACGAAATATACGTGACGACTAAAGGTAACAGGAATGCAGCAGTCATGAAAAATAGGGCACTGTGGAATTACAATAGGTATGATGTTGTGAGAGGAATATGGAAAGGGGTCATGGTTCCTGGGCTGACCTTCAGCAATGCGGTCTTGTGCATGAGATCAGAAGTTCAAGCAAGATTAGAAATTAAGCAACGTGGAATAGGTAGGCTTGCTTTAGGAGCTCACGGGAATACACCAAATCAGGGAGTACAAGGTGATATGCGATGGACATCATTTGAGGGCAGGGAAGCTAGCAGCAAGATAAAATTTGAGAAGCGATTGAGAGAAATGGGGGAAGAGCGTTGGGCTAGGAAGGTTTTCAGCTACTTGTACATGAAGAATGTCGATACAAAATGGAGGAAGCGAACCAGGAAGTTGACTGGTAAATACTTAGAAAACAGCAGGTGGCCAAACCAAAAAGAACTATCGGTTAAGAAAAAAGTGAAGGAAACAGAGACTGACATGTGGAGAATGGGCATGATTAAGAAGTCCGCACTAGAGATCTATCGAACTTTTAAGCAGGAAATTGCCAAGGAAAGGATCTATGATAATACTCGGGGTAGTTCTCTACTGTTTGAGGCCATGACGGGAGTACTGCGAACCAAGACATATCGGGCCAAATACGAAGAAGTCGACACAGTATGCAGTGCGTGTGGAGAGGAAGAAGAAACTGCCGAACACTTGATAATGTTCTGTAAAGGGCTTCACCCTATAGTTCAGGATGATAGCGCAGAGTTTTTCAAAGCACTGGGATTTAGGGACAGCGAGAGCAAAATAGACTTTAAGCGGGTAGACTTAACTAGAAGGAGGTTATCTGATTGGTGGCTAAAGTCAAGGCACGAGTGAAAATTAAACCCCTCACTGCGAAGTACGAATCCTCAACTTCATTATTTAAAGGAAAAAAAAAGATAAATGTAATGGTTAGTTCACTAAGTATTACGGCTAGGTGGCGTTAGCCGCCGCCCGATCTAAAGGGTACAGCCACATCCATCCATCCATCCATCCATCCATCCATCCATCCATGCGTGCATGATCACACTGAAAATGTTGCGTATTCGAAGAAAGAAGAAAGAGCGCTCAACAAGTTCACGAGGTGCATGTGGCGTATTTACTTTGCCCATACCAGCTCAGCCTGATTGAATTCCACCGCTTTCATCGGGACGAGAGAAGAAATATAGCAGTTGCAGCATGCGGAAAATTTTTGCACCTCCACTCGTACTAGACAGAATCCTGAATATTGTTACGGTGTTTAATTCATGAGGCAATAATCTCTTTCAGTAAATCTATTCCATGGTAATAACAGAAGAGTCTTAGGGCCCCTTCAACAAAGTATTGTAAAAATTATGCTGTGCTACTTTATTTCGAAAGACAGAGATTTTTTTAACGCGACGGAAATACTGGACTCTAAATTCTACTGGAATTCCTAACGCTACGGGAATCATAATTCGGATCTTTTTCCGTGATAGTAAGTGCCACCAACTAGTTAGTCTTGATCACTTCGATGATATCCGCCTGGTTGTTTCTTCCCCTAAGATGCATCTCTACGTGAGTTGCAAGCTTCATAACAGGACCTATTTCGGGGAGGTGTTCCAGATACATGATGGCAATGGAAACAGTGCTACATCAAATGCTTACAAGATGTGAGTAAAGTTCTCCTAGCAGTAATTTGCCTCTTTGTTAAACCTTTGTTGTGCGTTTGATAGAGCGCTGTTTTGTTGTGTATTCTTATTTTAAAGTTTATGATCAATCAAGCCCGCGTTTCGTCACGCTGCATAACTTTTCTTTTATGTATTCTTCCAAAGTTGCTCAATTTTCTGTAATACGGAATGTGACTAATTGTTTATATTGAAATTATTTCTTTCCTTGAATTTTATCGGGATAGCCCCAAACAGCTTTGTTGGCAGAAATTCTGTTACTAGTGTTTTCTTGGTGTTAGCATTTGCGCTGTTGATTGTGAGTGAAGAATCAGCGTTGTGCGTAAACGCATAACCACCACGCCTGCGCCGAACGTGCAGCACAGTCACAGTGAAAGCTGGAAGAGCGAACTTTCTAGAGCCGTTTTCAAAAAGAGTCTTCGGGTAACTCCGGCAAGCACACTTGCAGGATGCCCACTACACCATAAATCACCATAATTTTTGTGTAGTACAGGGAGGCATTCACTATTCCATTCTGCTTCATTCTTCGGAGAAGCGTGGTACCTTCAACACGCTTGCAAGAATTTTGTGATTTCTTTTATCTTGTGGCTGATGATGGTAAAAAAAAATATGCCTGAAGCTTTTGTAATGGGTTAGACCATTTGACGACCTATTCTTTACGAAATTCACATTGTGAAACGCCTTGTTGGTCCTTTGATGCTCGCTGCACACGATTGTCATGCAATGAGTGAAGTCTCCTGAACACATGTAGTATTGCACGGCAGAAGCGCACGATCATAGCAGCTGTCAAAACAAGTGAATTGCGCAACGAGTCGCTTCTTTAAAAGCTTACGCACTACAAAACGCACAGACATATTCAGTTATTTTCTGCGGCGAAAGCATTAATAAAGTGAGCAGCAGCTGCGTAAGTCCAAAGGGTCCTTATGGATACGTACTGGACCTTCCACTGATTCAAAAAAAAGAACTATTGTGGCATACTGGAAACTTCCCAAGTGTATGTAAAGTAGCCATGATATCGTAGTTTGAAGCGACCAATCTTACGTGCCAGTGTTGTTTTCCGTGCGCCACTGTTAAGGCAGCCTGCGAGCACCCCAAGCAATTGAAAAGGCGGGCGGGTACGGGACGCGATATACACAAAAGTAAAACCTGGGTGATACGACTCTTAAGGGTCCACCAAAAGTATCCCTGCCATCCGAAATTCGTATTAGCAGACAACAAAATTAGTTTTCATGATAATGAAACTGGTACACATTTTTCCTATGTTGTTTCTGAGGGCCACAGCGAGCGTCACGGACAACTGCGAATAATTTACCGCGAAGCTTTTAGACGTCAACAATAATACTCACACTTGTAAATATACGGCGGCCTCCACGCATGTGTAATTGATGGAACCGATTTGCTATGACCCGCGACCGCTAGCAGCCCCGTTCCAATCTTAGTACGATTTTTCGCAGGACACCAATCTACGACGACTAAACTGACCTAAGGAGAGTTCTGCACAAGATACATCAGGGTAAGAAAATTTTCGAACCACTGCCCTTCTTTTTGAAATATTAAAGACGAAAGTCATTCTTGAGATACTTCAACGCAGAAATTCGGGTCTCTGTCTGTCTGTCTGTCTGTCTGTCTGTCTGTCTGTCTGTCTGTCTGTCTGTCTGTCTGTCTGTCTGTCCGTCCGTCCGTCCGTCCGTCCGTCCGTCCGTCCTTCTGCTACATGCCAGTTGCTCTTGGATCTAAAAAAAATCGTTTTTTAACCATAGTTCCAGAAAGCGTCCATATCTCACGCAACGCCTCCAGACAAAATATCGTCATCTTTCTACGTCCTTTGCACTGAAGCATGCAGATGCGCGGCCATTTATTTTTTCATCGCAGGTGACCGTACAACCACGTACCGCTAAAACAAAAGGCCCGAGACTAAGATGCATTTCATGACATCCGTTCCAGGAAGGCCGTATATGAAGTCATGTCTGGAAAGGAGCAGATTATTACATTGTTTGATTTTGCTTGTATAAAGAGGTTTTCAACCTCACGTTTCTTTATTTTCAGCGTCAATTAGCTTGAATGCTTTTGTGTTCTTGTTCTTTCCTTATTACGTTCACAGGGCAGGCCAGTTCGGCCCCGTTCATAATATAGAATACGGCCAGATCAAGTACAAGATATCTAACTGCATGGAATACAGGTGTTTCCGGAAGAACAGCGCTCACGATGTTGTGAAGAGTGTATCGTAAGTTCTCATTCAGCTGAATGTTGTTTTTCAGCAGATCTATGTGCTTATAGTCCTTCAACAATAGAAAGGAAAATGTCACACATCCAAAAGCACTTATTTGAAAATGATATTTTAACACCAAATGAGCATACTTGCTAAGATTACAAAATTGCCTTGCCAATAGTTTGAATCATATTTTCTGTAGAAATTTTTTAATGGTACCTTCGCACGCTGTTCACTTGAAAAGGAAAAATCACCTGCAAATACAGGATTCGTCTTTATCACTGCTGTTCACTGATGTCTATTCTTCTGAAAATGGTGTGGCTATTTCAGAGCATGTTCTTTTTGCGCAAGGGAGCACTTAACCACTAAACTGACTGCATATCAAGCTGACATAGAGTGAAAATTGATTGTGATGAAAAATTGTAAGACATCTGTCACGTTCCTATTAACAAACGTAACAAAGCAGCTGTTGGGGCAACGAGCAAGCTGCAGGTCACGTAATCGATGCTGTTTTGTTTTGTCTGCAAGAGTACCAACAGGTTTCGACGCCTTTGCTAAGCTTTTAGTAACGGTAGTTTCGTATAATGTCACTATTCATTATGAAGCGCAAAAAAACCCTTTGTCAAGAAAATAGTAATTTTCGTAAATGACACGAATAGCTGGAACCCAAAGCGAGTTATTTAACGTATATTCAAGTGGTCGCTAATTTTATCAGCCTCATATTCAGCTTGGGATGTAAAAACAGCGCAAAAATTGAGGGAAAAACTGAAATAGAGACATGTCGTCTCTTCTTGAGTATTTAGGTAGCTACTAATTTTCACAACTTTCATTTCTAGTGCCTATACTAGCCAAGGTCATGAGCACTGACACGCAGACTGGAGCGTCACATACAGGATAAGGAGAAAAGATTAAGCGGAAGGACAGGGAAGTTAGCCACTTCATAGACCGAATGGCTACCAGATTTCGCTATGTCAGCATGAGCACTAAATTTTGAAAATCTGTCGGCTGAACAGCGCAAGAAGCTCAGTAGAATAATCACTTTAGCTTGTTTCTTGCTTTGTTCTAGAACGTGACCTGCAGTATTAAACGCGCAATAATACAAAATTGCCGAAGTCATTACATAGGTCCTTCGGTGCCGTGTTTTGTGTTTGGTCAGATGGTCTCTCGGGAAGCGGCCGAACATGAGAGTTTCCGTCAATGGCCAATCTGCGCCACATCGGCCACTTTCGACCCTCTTAGGCGAAAATTTTTTTCAGGTTGTCACCACGTTAATTTTCTGCCCACTTTCAAGCTCTGTTTACCACGTTAATCAGAATTACTGACAGTGCGGCGTGTGATGTTTGCGGCACCGACGAAAATATCGAACACCTGCTGTGCCATTGTCCTCGATTGGACTCAGATAGACAAGTACTTGCCAACGCAATGCGGCGACTGGATGATCGGCCTCTTTCTGTGCAGGTGCTATTACAGCAACGTACACATGCCTCGGCAGCCCACAAGGCAGTGAAAGCCCTGCTGCGTTTTCCTGAGAAATACAGGCTTGTGTGAACGCCTCTGACATGCGGTAGAGTTCTACACGCTGCAGTGAAATTACTGTCAGTCTCTACCCCACCCACTTTTTTCTCTCTCTTCCCTCTTTCTCGTCTTTCTCGTCCCCTTCCTTAATCTCCCTGTGTAGGGTAGCCAACCGGTTGTCTTTCTGGTTAACCTCCCTGCCTTCTCCCTTTTTGTTGCTTCCTGCCTTCCTTCTAGTTCTGTTCTACCGGATTTACTGGCTTAAAGCGTAATGTCATCACAACCTTTTGTCGTCTTCCTCGTGCTTTTGCTAGAGCGTACTGCGTACCGCTGTCCGGGTGTGGCACGATCTTACCACAATAGGACGTCATAGAAAATGCCACGGCGACCCTGTCAACAAGCGTTCACTTCAGGCCTCGCAGTAAATGCTCCATCATTGAAGTCTTGGTACACCTCCTTGTGAGAAAATAACAATGATTATTCTAGCTTTTGTCAACTACAAATGTGCTTTGTTTTTGTGGATCACCTCTATCCCCGAGTTCTCATTTCACCTTAAATAGCCTCCTGTCGTTACTTCGAAAGCGATGAAGTTGATACCAGACTTATTTTCTGTTTCAAAGTGCATGTTCGCTGTTGAAAGCAAGAAAAAAAACAGGTTTTCGCTTCATCATAGATTCCTGGTACTGTTTTAAAACCTGATATCTCGCCTGATATCAACGCGTGCCTAATTAAAGATGAGCAATAAGACTCCGACTTCACGCCGCTAGGGGGCCACGGAGTGCGGTTGCACTTCACAATGGCTCCTGCTTTTTGCTAGTTTTTGTGGTTCAACGCTGTGCTACTTCTGGGTTTTTGCGCTGGCCAATTCACCAAGTTGCAAGAAAAGGACTGACACCTACCACTAAGTGGTGAGTGATTATCTACACCGAACTCCTAACATCTCGACGCCAAGGTCCTCACCGCTAACCCTTACGCCGCGATGGACACGCGAGCGCGTCTCGCACTTATGGCTTGCGTTGCATGTACACCCACCGAACGCGCGGGCCCGGGAAGGAGCTTCGCGTTCCTTTCTCGACCAGAAAACTTGATTAGAGGGAGACGTCCCTTGCCACCAGCCACGTAGGCTTTCAAACAAAGCGTGTTGATGGCTACTACGGGACCACAAGAAGAACCAACATCAATGCAAGCCGAAGTGAACGCCGAGACGCCCACGGAGAAATCGGCATCGACGTATGATGTCAACAGTGGCAAAACAACAGGGAAGGGGCATATAGAATGGCTGCAAGTCGGACGCAAAGAAAAACGAGCGCCGAACCGGATTCAAGCATCCATAGAGAAGCCCGAGAAAGAGCCCATTTCCACGCAAAAAAGCTTCGAAGCAACACAACTTGAAGATGCCCCCTTTTCCTACAGACGATATTAAAATTGTCTACAGGCCACAAGCCGGACTCGACTTATTGAAATGGAGTCTAACATCAATTACGCACGCTATCGGACGATAAAGCCCTCTCACACAACAAAATGTCTACGGCAACGTTCGAGTTCAAGTGCAGAGCGTTGAAAACATTATCATTGCTAGTTCCGCCGGCACAGAAAGCGCAACCAACCTGAGAAGCATTGCTACCATCCAGTTAGGCGGCACTTTTTTTCAGCGTGAACTCCCACGTGAGACATCCCGACGATGTATGCAGAGGAGTCATCTACGGGCTTCTCCCAGGAACCAGCAGTGCCGAAATTGCAGCTGGCCTCCGAGTCTACTTACGATACACGGTCCTTGGCACTCGCATGCTTGGTCAGTCTTCCACCGCCGTCATCACTTTCGACGGCCCACATGTCCCGTACTACATCACCTACCAAAGTGGATACTACCGCTGCAAACCCTATCAAAAGTCTGTGCAGTTCTGTCGCAAATGCGGTGCTATTGGGCATGAACAAGACATCTGTCCCAGACCCAGAGAAGACTTCTGTTACAAGTTCGGACAAGACGCAGCACCACAGATCACGAATGTATTCCCAACTGCAAAATATGCGAACAGCCCCATAAAACCGCCGGCAAGGAATGCAAAAAGAAGCTACGACCAAACCCACCACTTTACCAAGTTAGACAACAAACACTCGAGAAGGCCAAAAGCCCGAGAGAATGGCTGTAGATCCCGCAGTGAAGACTTCACCGAGCTTGACAAACCATCTCCTAGCCCCAGCGGCACATTGCACGACAAGCACGACCGAAGCAAGTCTACGTCTATTCTGCGATTGCGCTCCAGGTCTCGCACAAGATCCCGCTCACTTTCCGCCCAACACCTCAGCTATGCTCATGCAATTCACGTAGATTCGACTTCACAGAACAACAAGAACACTCCAGATTGCTCATCTACTGAATCTACTGCATTCAAGAATTTAGAAAAAGTGGTTTCGAATCTACAAAAAGCTCTGCAAAGCCAGCGTGACCAGCTCTAAAAACAAAGTGCAGTTGTCGATAAGCTCGTAAAACTATGCCATGAAGAAGAAAAGATCATAGAGAAGCAGAATGCAAGCATAGACAGGCTCACTCGACTATTCGAAGAACAGCACCAAGCTAAGCAATTAGCCACGAAACTCACCACACCAGATATTGAAGCTGTCGTGGAGGCCTAAGTACTCTTCATTATAGAAACAAAAGTCGCCACCCTGTCGACTCGCAGCTCACGGCGACAGTAGAGCCACAACGCACATCAGCAGTCGAGTCGACGCTCGAAGCACTCGTCCTGGTGAAGTTGGAGCCCATCTCCACCCAAATTGGTGACACGTTCACGATGCTCAGCCATAGGATGGACACTCACACAGCCCAAATCAACGATCTCAAGTCGCAGATAACCAAATTCGTGGTTCATGTCAAGAACAACTGCATTAGTCACGCGGAACTTGAAGACTGCCATGGCAGAAAAAAACCACGCCCAAAGAGAGAAAAGGTTTCTCACTCCTTCTCTCTCGATGGCGAGCAGGTAAACGTACCAGATATTCACGAAGATGGCAGGCTCTAAGAATAGGGTTTCTACTCCGCCACCAACATTTCGTATTTGGCAGTGGAACTGCCGATCATACAGACTCCGGTTGGCTAATCTGCAAGAATTTATAAAAGTAAATCAACCCGATTTTATCGCTCTACATGAGAGCAATACTGAAAAAGTGCGGTTCGCAGGACACAACACCGTTGCTGTGACTCCAAGAACCACCATTCTACTTAAGAAAACTGTTGCGGCCCAAGTACACAAGATAGAAGATACTACAGTTGAACAATTCATCGTGGAAGTCATACCGGGACGAAAATCGCAACAAAGCCTTTACGTCACTAACGTGTACAGCCCACCGCGTGATCAGCTCAGGGACTACGATTACTTCGTCCGCGAACTCAGAAAACGCACAAAAGGTTACCGGTTAGTGGTCGTGGGGGACTTCAATGCGCCCCATACAGCTTGGGGCTACGCCATCACCACCAAGAAAGGCGCGATCGAGAGTCCACG